CGTTTGACAGCACTAATATATATATATATATATATATATGAATAGTGTGAATGGGTGATTGTTGTGATTTTTAAGACAATTAGCTGTGCGCATCGACTTCCCTGTGTTGTGTGGTGTCAGGCTCCAGCCTGGCCGTTCTGTTCTCTCCCGGGACGGCCTAAACAATAGCCACTATGTACAGAAGCACAAGGGCCAGGAGTGTGTGTGTGGTGTTTGTCGAGGCTCTGGAGCATTTACGTCTATACTGATTGACTTATTTCTTTGGTGCAGAGTGTTGTAACTGGAGTAACTGGAACAGTGTGTTTTCATCCAGACAGTTGGACACAATGCGGTTTACTAAATTACTTTAAGCTTGCAATTGACAACTCAACAGGGTTAAGTGTATTTTAGTTAATGCTTAGTGGCCCCTCAGTTGTGTTTGAGTTTCTGTTAAGTTAGATGTTACTTCAATTACATATTTTTGGTGATGTGCAGTGGTTAGTGTTCTAGCATTGTAGTAGCTTCTAAAAATCAAGATTCCTGTTAGAACCAAAAAGTTTGTGGAAGCCTGATTCAACTTTTTATTTGTTTTGAAAACCCATCTATGCATGGTGCTTTCAAGATCTTAGCCAATATGTTGATTAGAAGAACTTAAAATGTGATCTCCAGAACATTCAATCAAGGAACTATCTTTAAAGGTTCTACAAAGGTTCTCTGAAGGCCCCACTTTTTTTAAAGAGCCATTTTTGCCTTATATGGTGTTTTACAGATGGAATGTTCTTGCTGTTACATTTAAAAGTTCTTTTAAATGTTTTAAGGTTCATTAGGGCTTTTAAATGTTCTTCAGATCAACGTATTGGTTTCTGGGTTCTCTTTTCCAAAAAAATCAAGTTTCCAAAAGGGGTTTTTAGCTGCAATGCCATGCATAGAAGAACCATTTTGGGTTCCCCCTAAAGAACATTTCAGTAAATAGTTCTTAAAAAGATCCAATTTTTTTAGTGTGAAGAACACTTTAATAAACTGAAGAACCTTATTCCACTATAAATAACCCTTTTAGCAATGGAAGCATTCCATGGATGTTAAAGGTTCCTCATTGAACCATAAATGTCAATGAAGAACCTAAACTATGATAGTTATTTGTTCTTCTATAACATTAGGCTTATCAGGTAAACACACTTAAAAATAAAGATACAATGTACCTTAAAGATGCAGTGATACCATAGAAGAACCATTTTTGTTTCCCAAAGAACCTTTTTTTTTTCTTAGTGTGAAGAACATTTTAAAAATCTAAAGAACTTTTTTCACTAAATAGAACCTTTTGTGGAATGGAGAGGTTCATGGATTTTGAAGGTTCTTCATGAAACCATAGATGCCAATAAAGAACCTTTATTTTTATAGCTCTCTTATTAACAATGTGTTTCAAAGAACCACTTTCAGTCACAGGAACACTCTCCAAGCAGCGCTCCAATGTAAATGCTTGCATTCCTCTCATGGCATCCATTGTAAATGATGCATAGAGTGTGGGGGCATCTTCATTCTCCGTTGCATTGACCTATGCTATGAACGCTGCCACATCCATGTGCTCTCGGCCAGGAGGAACAGTGCAGTGCATTGTAGGTTGAGCAGAGTGGGTGTCCGTTTATGAATGGCCTGAGTGGATGGAACAATGCTCCCCGCTCTGAGCCTCTGACATTTTCATATAGAACGGAGGAGTTGAAAGGAGGAGAGAAACGAGCCCACCACCACCTCCTCCTCCCCCCGTCCAGCCCGCCCCGCCTGGAGCTTGGTACAGAAGGTAGCAAGAGAGGCCTCCATCCCATCCGTATGCGTGCGTTTCATCGGGAGTGTTTGTCATGCTATGCTTTTTCTCTGCTGATTAATGCTTCATTTGAGAAGGAACCTTTTGTCTGGTGAGTCTTATTGCATTTTAGAGCATTTTAGGTGATTTTGTATCATGATCAATTATGTTAAATGTTACTGTATGGGTTTTTGGGGTATTTCAAATGTGTTTTGCTGCACAGATAAGTTTATAAGAGTATATTGGATGTATAACGAAACTAGAGGAGTAAATCGAGGCTGATCGTGGCTGTTGTTCATGCTGTTGCTGTCAGTAAACAAACTGTATGTACTGAGAATAATTCAAAGATTGTCACGAGAAGAACATAAAAATGTGATGTAAATTGAGAGCTGCTCAGGTACAGAAGGGGAGGGAATGATGGTTCAGTCATGCATGGTTATGTGTCATGCTGTGCCAACATTTTCCTGCCAAACACCTCAATCACTCACTTGAACGACGTTGTAGGGCTTCATCACATCCCACTTTAGGTTAGCAGCAGAGTGGCGTGATATTGGATCTGTTCTGGATTACTCATAAACATACTTTGCTATGGAACAACAGCTTTTGTTTATATTCATTGGTGCTGACAATTTTAGCAGAGTTGAATTTTGGTTCATTTTGAAGTTGTTATCAGGGTTGTTGCTTAAATTCATGGAGCCTGGGGCATTTTTATGGAGTGGCTGGTCAGTAAGGTATAGAGCAGGGGTTTTGGAACATTTTGATGCCAAAGATGCCCCAAATGATGAAATAATGATCATGTCAATCTCATGATTCTCCCATTGCCTGTTAATAAAAAGCCTGTTGCATTGTTTCTTGCTCCATAACCAAGGAAAAACTTTATTAATCTATTTTATAGAATCTTAAATGATCTCTGTCTTCTAGATGCTCCTGTTTTTGAACATATTTTCTGGGTTGAAATATATTTCTAGACTTTTTTTGTAAATTGAAGCGTTACAATGCTGCATGACATGCATGTAAAATTTGGCACTGGGAATCAAAAACTGAGGAGTAACTTCAGTGGATTAGCATGGATTCTCCCCAAAGAGAGTGGGAAGGCTTAGCCTGCTAAATTGGGCCTGGGCCTCTGTCTTCACAGTCTGAATCGTGGACAGGAAGCAGCTATGTAGTGAAGGTAGACTACTGAGACTGCCATCTGCCCCTATAGCTGTGGAATATCTAGAAAGCACAATTGTTACAGTATGTTCATATATACAAGAGTATATCTTCTATCACATCCAGTTTTATTTACTTTTATTCTCAAGGAATTTTTACTATATTTTTATTTTTTACTTATTTCATGTAATACATTTTTTTAAATGTCATTATTTTATTATTTATTTTTAATTGTAGATATACAATATATAATCTAAAATATATAGAAATGAGGATTGTTTACTATATAAAACTATACTATACACACAGAGATATATACATAGATATATATTGTTAAATTATAAATAATTTTGTATTCAAAATAAAATGTGTGTGTGTGCGCATGTGTGAATATATATACTGTATATATTCATTTAAAAAATATATATATATACACACACATAGAGTGTATATATATATATATATATATATATATATATATAATATATATATATTGAGGTGTGATAAACCACAGTTTTAACAGGGGGGCAAACACTTCTTCACACAGGGCCGTGTAGTTTTGGATTTTGTTTTCGCTTAATAATAAAAACCTTCATTTAAAAACTGCATGTTGTGTTTACTTGTGTTATCTTTGACTAACATTTAAATTTGTTTGATGATCTGAAACAAAGTGTGACAAACATGCAAAAAAACAAGAAATCAGGAAGGGGGCCAACACTTTTTCACACCACTATATATATATATATATATATATATATATACACACACACACATACATTGTTGGAAGATATCCAATTGTAAATATATAAAATGCATACACACACACACTAAATATACACAATAAAAATTGCATTTTATTCATAAATTTCAATAGAGAGTCTTCCCATTTTTCAATTTTGTGGACGGCAGCACGGTAAACCTAATAATGCAACAGGATATTGTTGCAAGCAGTGGACATTTTGACAATTAGCATCCTCCATCCTGGCAGCGTTCTTGTGGGTGGGCTGCTTCATGAAATTTTACACATATTCGAATCGGATCATTTTGAATCTGAGTGATATTTACGGTCCGACTCATCGATGGATTGCTTCTCACTTTAGCCATTTATGCATTATTGCCTTGCTAATCTACGAGCTGCGTGAGCTCTGTTCTGAGGTTTGATGGCATGTGGACTTTATTAATTATCCCAGAGTTGTTACTCCATACTGAAATGATCTCCTGGTGATGAAGCTGATAGTTTTATCTTAGTATGTTGTGTGTTTTGACTAACAAGCATTTGTAATCCCTCCCACCGAAATTATGCAAGTTACTGAGAATATGCCTTACTAAGTGCACATTCATAAACACTCTCAGCCATACTCGCTTATACAGCAAACAGTGTGGGAGGGCCAGCAGTCGTGTTTTTACCACCATCTGCTCCTTTGGTAAATTTAGAGGGTGCCCAGGCTTATGGACGCAGGGCGCATCGCAGGCTGACAGCAAAGCATGCTGTGAAGAGACCTGTTCTGAAGAGATCTATAGCACAAGGAAAGACTTGAGTGATGTTTAAAGGTGCAGTCAGTCATTTTCCTTCATTTAAAATACATCAGTTAATTACTCTCAATTATCTTCATTACCTCAATTATACATAAACAAATGCAGAAAATCTTTAAAATCATGTTTTAAGTTATTAAATAAAGACTCCAATAAATATCCTATCAGTGGTAAAAAAAAACTGTTATATTTTACATAGAGCGGGTTGCCTCATGGGGGCAGCCATTTAAGATCACATGACCTGCTGAATACTTACGTTTCTGTAACCTGCCTGTTAAAAACTGTCAGTTTTTGTTTTATATTATATTCATATTTTTAGTACTTACTTTACTTTTTATGTATTATGCAGACTTCTCTATTTTCTTAACTTAGGAAAAATAAATTATTATTATTATTATTATTATTCAATTTTATTTCCAGACTCAAGGTCCATTAACAAGAAACACACAATACAAACCAAAACAATACACATTAAAAAAGACGGTTATACCAATACTTCCTCATAGAGGACTGATATCGCACTTCAGTAAGCCTAGGATTTGACAACAACATTATAATATTATTATGCGAATCGTCCAGCCGACAAATAAATGTATACATCAAATTTCTCATTAAAGCAGGGAATGATTGTACTCTTGCCTTACAGAATAAATCACTTGCACTGCTCCATCTTGGGGGTTTTTTTCAGCAGGATCCTCATACAGTCATTGTACACAACCTGAAGCTTACATAGGCTCTCTTTCTTAAACTTAACCCACAAAGGAGCAGTATAAAAAGAAGTACAATATGCTCTAAAAAGGTTTATCTTTACCTGATCTGAACACATAAAATCATCATCATCACTCATTTCATTATTAATGATATGATCTAAATATTTTGCTGTAGTACATACATTTAAAACGTGCCCTGATAAATAAAAATCTGGGAAATACAAATCTCTATGTTCTTTGGTTCTACATATCATGGCAACACTCTTTTTTGTATTGTATTGCACATATCTAATCCCATAATCAGAACATATATTAAGCAACTGTTGAAAACCAGCACTACTTGGGGGAAAAACAACTAGATCATCAGCATACATATAGTGATTGACTGTGGTATTACCAAGCATACATCCAGTCCTGCAGTCACTTAATTCTTCGGACAATTCATTCATATAGACATTAAAAAGAGCTGGTGAAAGTAAACCTCCTTGCCGCACTCCATTACTTACACTAAATTAATTTGAGACACAATTACCCCACTTTATCTGCATACTTTGATTAGTGTACCAATATGTCAAAATTCTTAATATGCTATTAGGTACGCCCCTTTGTCTTAGTTTACTGAACAACTTTTGATGACTAACTCTATCGAAAGCTTTAGAAGCATCAATAAAGCCGATTATAACAGTGGAATTTTGTCTTTTATAGAGTTCTACAACTTCCTTCAGAGCGTATATACACAAATCAGTACTATGGTGAGACTTAAAACCAAACTGATTGTCTGTGGTATCAAGATAAACACCTAATCAATCTAATATGGTTCTTTCCAAAACCTTTGACACAACACTTGCTAAAGCAATTGGTCTATAGTTATCCAAACTACCTACCTTGCCAGCCTTATCCTTAATAACAGGCAGCAAGGTTACTGACAACATCGACTCTGGCAGCAGCCCATGTATCATAAAACCAGGGAAGCAAATTGCGAGAAGAACCACAAGCCTAGGGCTCGCAAATTTTAGGTGTTCAGCAGTAATTTGACCTAAAGCACCAGTTTTCCTATTTATAAGCTGAATTATTGCTTGATAAACCTCATTTGTTGTAATACTCCCTGTATCCATACTAGAGACTATACTTCCACTTTACATGGCACACTCTTTACACAATTAAACAGAGTAGAATAATGTTGTCTCCACAACTCTGCTATATTCTCAGCTCCAGAAACACCCTCTATTATATATTATATTATATTATATTATTTACATATTTTTATTTTAAAGTACAAAAGTAATATATTTTTTATATTATATTCATATTTTCAGTACTTCACTTTTTCTGTATTATGCAGACTTCTCTATTTTCTGAACTGAGGGAAAAATATTATTATTATTATTTACATATTTTATTTTAAAGTATGAAAGTCATATATTTTTAGTATAAGTAATATATTTATTAAAGTAATATATGTTTATTTATTAGTTTGATTACAAAATAACATTATTTTGAATATTATTATTGTTATTAAATACATTACAATGGTAATTGCCTTACTGATTTGTTTCATTTTTATGATTTAAATGATGAAAATGTATATTTTATTATTATTTTAATAATAATAATAATTATTATTATTTATTAAATACTTTTTTATTTTACATTACAATAGCAATACATTTCTTTATTGATTTGTTTCATTTTTTATAATTAAATCATTTTTAAATAAATACATAATAGTAGTAGTAATAGTAAAAAATTGTGTTGTCAATCATATAGTCATACTAAATGGTGAAAACAGTTTTTTCTTTTTTCTTTTTTTTTTTTATAGTTGTCTTTCTGCACTGGCCAATAGCTGTTTCCAACAGCCACTTATATTTTAAGCAGCCCATTTGTAGTACGAGACAGTACACCATGGTTCCAATACCACATGGTTTGGGATAAACAAACTGCTGTTTAATATTAGACAGATTTGACTACACAAACACAAACTTTTCATTGAGAGAGGGATGCAGTAGCATAGAAAGGTCATTTAGCAGCTTTACTGATGTAAGACGCACATTGCAATTTAAGTGTGTTGGCATGTGCTATGCTATTCATGTGTGTGTGTGTGTGTGTGTGTGTGTGTGTGTGTGTTAATGGGGGGGGTGACGCTTTCCAGTGTGTGTGTGGGGTGCTGTGGCATGTCGTACGTCTTGATGTCACACAGGCTCACTGTTGTGCATTCGTTCCACAGCCCCTTTATCAACTATGGGAGTCCCTGTGGCAACTGTCCATTATATATAGTATTTTGATTTAGATTAAATAATATTGATATACAAAATATTGCTACAAACTTCAAATAAAAGAAAATGGCCCAAAAAATCCTGAAGACATTCACCGATTTTTTTTTTAAATGTTTTTTTAAACAAATCTCTCATGCTCCACAAGCCTGCATTTATTTCATTAAAAATACAGCAAAAACAGTAAAAAAAAAAACTGAAATATTATTAAAATTTAAAATAACTCTTTTATATTTGAATATTTTAAAATGTAATTTATTCCTGTGATGCAAAGCTGAATTTTCAGCATCTATTTTTTTGCAATACATTTTCAAGATTCTTTATTGAATGGAAAGTTCAAAAAACAGCATTTATTTGAAAACAGAAATCTTTTGTAACATTATTTATGTTTTTACTGGTCATTTTTGGTCGATTAATGTGTCCTTGCTGAATTAAAGACTTACTGAATGTGATTTTGCTAAAACATTACATTTGATGAAAGTTTACAGATTTTTTTTTAATTTGGAATAACATGCACTGATAAATCATTCGCAATAAGACAAGGAATGTGCATTAAGAAATAAATAGGGTTCATTATGTTTTCATGTAGAGTTAAAATGAACCACAATGGAGAAAAAAATATATTTCACAGATTTAGCTCACAAGGTGAGTCATGCGAAGATGAATTCCAGCCGATTTACAGGATACAGTGTAGCCTACATGGAGCTGAAACCAGTCCAAACTCATTCACAACGGTATCATCTGACCCCTAGCAGAAATATACCTAAAAACCACGAGGAACAGTGTTACCCAGACAGGCTGGAACAAAAGGGTTTGACCAGGGTAGAAAGGAGAGATGTCATGGAGAGGAATGTACGATGTGGGCTAGAGAAGAAGAATGCACTGAGGGAAATGTCTGCATATTCAAGGCTGCCCACGGAGAAATTATTATAATATGCTGATTTGGTGCTCAAAAAAACATTTCTATTTATTTATTTAGTCATTTAGCAGACGCTTTTATCCAAAGCGACTTACAAATGAGGATTCAAGGCTGCCCACGGCACACATTTGCCCAGCTTATAACTAAAAGTCTCCATCCTCTCCTCTCCCTATCTGTCTATCTCCGTCTCCCTCCCTCTTTGTCATTTTCCCCCATTCCCACACCTCTGAGGAAGGACGAAGAACAGGAGGACTTTGAAGAGCCAGGAGCCAAGAGACCAGTCCTTCCCCTTCAGAAGAGCCCAAGAGTGGAATCTGGATCTGGTATGAGGCAAGTGTCCTGGATGGTTCAAGGCTTGTTTGTGGAGCATGAATGGTCCGTTTGTTTGGCTTGGGAATTGCTTCATCCATTTTAACGCTTGCTGCCAGGGGTTTCAGTTCCAAGCAACAGCAGTTTGCTGCCTCTTAAATCTTGTGTGATGGGCATATAAATTAGTTCTGTTTGTCTGGAACAGCTGGTGTCATTATAATTATTCGGTTATGATTAACAAGAATAAAAAGGCTGCTTGGGATGTTTGTTTAATGAGCCATTTCCGGAAGGCTTCAATTATTGCAATATGCACTGTAAAATATTGCCAGGATTGATAGCATTCAAAAGTCATTATAAGAAAATACTGTGGGGTTTTTTTTGTGTATGAAATATTTCTGAAAAAAAAGAACAATATATTTTACATACAGAACATGAAGCCTGGTTGTAAGACCATTTTTATTGCAGATTATTGTTTTACTGTATTTGTTTCTGTCATAACAAAAAATGCTGTAAAAATCATATTGCATTAGATATTGGGATAATAATTGTAAGTAGTTGTTTTTGTTTTAAATCACCATTATGGTGACTAGTCTTGAACATTATCCAGGCCTATTATGAATTCATTTACTTTTAATGAACTGATTGCATTGTGGTAAATAAATTAGAGTTGTTTACTCACACAAGAATAGTTTAGCCAAAATATGAACATTTTGTCATTATTTATTTACCCTCATTTTTCATTCCTGTGAAAAAAAAGAAAAGAAAAAGACATTTTAAAGAATAACTTGTCTGTTTTTGTCCATGCAATGAAAGTCAGTGGGGTCCAAAACATTGCATTGATTCTATTTATTTATTTTTAACATGAGGGTGTGAAAATGATAACAGAATGTATTTATAAGGTGACATAAATCTGGTCATAACTTGCAGTCAACAATGTATGTGGTACATTGCTGTAATAGTAGGGCTACGGAAATAATATATTTTACACATAGCTAATAAATAAGAAGGCGGATCGCGTGTTTTCCACCACATATAATTATTATTTGATTAAAATAATTAATAACTACTACTGAAAAATACTGTAAATTTAAACTACAGTTGTGTGGGGGGGCAATCTTGACTGTTTTTATATATTAAGACATGTAGCCTACCTATAAAAGTTGGATTAACAGTCCTCTGTCATCTCGTAAATTTAATTGGTTCAACAACTGCATCAAACTCGTGAGCTATCAGGGGAATATTTCTAATATAATAATCTTGGAGATTTCAAGAACAATCCATTTATCAGCCACCGTCTGTAGTCCCCGTCTGCTCTGAAGTCTTCAGGAGATGCGCGCGCTCGTTTGTAAAGCACACACAACACCACTGACAAGCGCGTGAATAAAGTCAACAGAGGCTGCTGGGTGAGCGTGGATGAATGTGCTATGGATGATGTGTCATATCATGAACAGTGCTTTCTGTATGCGCGCCAAACACGCAAGGGTTGACGTCGTATGCTCATAGCGAGCAATTCTCCTCTCCCACACACTGCGGCCCTGTACGGTGTGCGTCAGTCTGTCAGAGAAAGTGTGTCTGTGGGTTAAGAGAGCTAATGTTGCTTCTTGATATTGATGTCATTTCTTTGTTGTTGTTTTAAGACAAATCAGAAGAGAAGCTGAATTGATGTGCTGTGAGAGAACGCCCCCTTGTTTGTGAGGGAAGAACAGCAGCGGCTTGTTCACCGTTGGAGAGGGAATTAAAGTTGGTTGTGGTTCAGCACACTCTGCCAGCATTTCAAGGTGCAAATCTAAAACAAATACAAATAGACATTTTAGAAGTGTCCAAAACTATTAGATAATTCATAGTATATATGAGAAGCAGCATAAGATATTTATCAAAAGATATAGATATAAGATATAGGATTTATTTAGAGCTCTCTCTCTCTCTCTTTCTCTCCCTCTCACTTAATGAACCATATCATGGAGTACTAAATTAAACCTGTTTGCCTAATTCTGACGATCACAACACAAGGGGCGGCTTACAGTACTCGACTTCTGTAACAATTATTTTGTCATTAATCCACCACCCCAGCTGCACCTCTATTTTCTAATATTTATGTCATAGAATAGGGTGAATCCTTCAGAAACATGTCCAGGTCACATTTCACCCTAAAATAAAATAAAAAAGGAAAGAAAATTTATATTTTGCCTAAACAGTTGTTGTACCATTATTGTTGTTTTTTTATTTTCATTATTGTAATTCTGCATTTGTGCATCTGCATATTTGCGGGGGGTTTTTTTATTCTTAAAGTTTTTTCTCATTACTATAATATAGAAAGAAATTAACATTTTATTGATTTAAATAAGCATACATTTTAAGGAAGTACAATGATTATTTATCATTTTAGTCCTAAAATAGGCATTATTTTCTTTAAAAAAATAAAATTAAAATAAATAAATTAACTTTTTTTCCCTCATGGTTCTGGGGTGAAATATGTCCAAAACACGTTAAATCATGTGAACTTTGTGTTAAAAAATACACTGCACATCAAAACTTATATATATACAGGCAAAACAAATTTTACACAAGGCTCATGTCATATCCTGAACCGTCACTCCTTTTCTCCCCATCTCTTAAGAGAACAAGAGAACAACAAGTGCAATTGTGTTAGTAGAGTCTGTTTGTCTTGCTGATGCATGTGCTGGTTTTGTAACAGAGGTCTATGGTCCAGAGTTAAACAGACCATGAAGGGCTTGGAGCTGCTGCTGTTGCCTCTGCTGCTTATTCTGAAAGGTAACAACTTCTTCTGAATCGAACATGCTGTTTCTATGGTTCCTTTGGTTAATGCTGCTGAGACACTATGGTACATGTTCAAAATCATGGTATCACTATAGTACACATCCAAGAGACATGGTAATACAATGGTGTTATTTTATTAACTAAATTACCTGCGCTCTTCTCGCTTTCTCTGAACAGATGTAAGTGCTCAGTGGAATGTGTGGATGCCCAGAGACATTTCAGCCATGACAAACTCCTGTGTGGTTATACCCTGTTCATTCACATACCCCTCCGGCATCAGGCCTTACAGAGGGGTCCACGGGATCTGGTATTTCGGCCACCCCTACCCCCAGCTTTTCCCCCCAGTGGTGTATAAGTCACGCACAGATATTGTTCATGAAAGTTACAAAGGACGGACCAAGCTCCTTGGTGACTTGACGCAAAAAAACTGCACTCTGCTGATAAATAATGTTGGCGTGGAACATTCTGGGAGGTATTACTTCAGGGCAGACCTGGGTGGCGCAAACATCTACACTTACCCTGACTTCACAAAACTACAGGTGTTGGGTAAGGCCATTTTTTAATTATTCATTTTTGATGTGTCTCCAAGTAATAATATTTAAAATCCAAACAAAAATGAAAATGTTGTCATCATTTACTTACCCTCACCTTATTCTAAAACTGTATGAGTTTCTGTGGAACTTAAAAGAAGATAATGTGAAAAATGTTCAGAATATCTTATTTTGTGTTCCACACAAGAAAGAAATTCGTAAAGGTTTAGAACGACTTGAGGGTGGGTAAATGAATAAGAATAAGAATATAAATCTTTGCAGTGTGGTTACTAAAACATTGTTGGTCTAGCATTTGAAGTCAACATGAAACGCATTTGGTCTAGCATTTGAAGTCAACATTTCAACCACAATCAATTTACTTTCATAGTAAGATGTATTTCTGGATCAAACAGCATATTTAATATGTAGGGCGGGACTTTGGATTGTGGAAAGGAGGTGTTCTGTAGAAGAATGGAACCAGACCTGAATGCAAATTTGTTAAAACAATGAATAAATAGCTATTTTGCTTGATGAAAAATGCACATTAAAACCAAAAATGCATATTAAAATGGAAAAAATGGTCTGTTTTTACTTAATATTGACTTTAAATATCTCTTCCCCCTCTAGATCAGCCCAACATCGATGTTCCAGAGGAGATCGTTAGTGACCAAAGCCTGGACTTGACCTGTTATGTCCCAGACAATTGTCCAGACATGAGTCCACAGATCCACTGGATGTACACAGACTACCTGCCTGACCCTGTTTTCACCCCTGACAATGTTGAGGAAAGCAACACCGCGGTACTGTCCAGCACCCTCACCTTCACACCCAAACCCATGCACAATGGCCAGCTGCTGGGCTGCCGGGTTCATTTCGAAAACACCACCTTTTTTTATGAACGCCTCATTTCACTGGACATCAAGTGTGAGTTCCACCAAATCACTATTTTATGACTGCATGTTAATCACAGAGACAATATGTACTGACTTATCCTCTTATCTGTAGACGCCCCTCGAACTGTGTGGGTAAATGTGTCTCAAGAGGTAATGGAAGGAAGCTCGGTGGTCCTGCACTGTGATGTGGACAGTAATCCAGCCCCCAGAATAACCTGGTATTTTGGAGACAAAGAGCTGATGTCAGAAGTTGCCTCAAACTCTTCGCTGCCTCTGGATAACCTGACCCCAGAGGAGGAAGGTGTCTATACCTGCGTTGGTGACAATGGCTATGGCAGCATGAACACATCCATGTATCTGGCAGTAAATTGTAAGTAAAAGTTCATGCACTCTTGTGTATTGCAATATTAACCATTTAACGCTACTGTAAGCTATACTTTAGGGAATGGGGTGTTTTTGGAAGCAGCCATTGGCTATAGTTTTTGCAAAAAAAGTTTTTTGATTGTAAATACGTTGTATGGCAGCATAAGCGATATGCTAGTATTCCATTATCCATCTGAACATTCTTCATTATTTCCTCTCAAACTGGAAGATCCTCCACGGGAGCCATGGATCAATGAATCTCTAACGTTGTTGGAAGGATCTTCAGTTTCCCTACAGTGCAACAGCAAAGGAAACCCAATGCCCACGTTGACCTGGCTGAAGGATGGGGAACTGGTGGGTACCATCACAGCAGAGGAGGGATCCGTGCTTGAGCTGCACGAGATCACGCCGCAGGCTCACGGAGTCTACCGCTGTCTAGCTGAGAATGAACACGGACGAGCCAGCAACTCACTTAACATTACGGTAGAATGTAAGTCACTGGAAAAGACTGACCAGTTGAGAAACTGAGCCAGTAGACTGTGATTATGCTTAGGGGACAGTAAATGGAAACGTTTTCTCCAAAGAAAAGTTGGTTTTGGCTTGTGTTCAACCTGTGTGAAGCCTTAAAGGGATAGTTTACCCAAAAATGAAAATTTTGTCATTACTCGCAATTACTCACCCTCAAGTTGTTCCAAACCCCGTAAGACCTTCGTTCATCTTAATAACACAAATTAAGATATTTTTGATGAAATCCGAGAGCTTTCTGACCCTGCATAGACAGCTACTACGCAACTACCACGTTCAAGGCCCAGAAAGGTAGTAAGGACATTGATAAAATAGTCCATGTGATATCTGTGGTTCAACTTTAATTATATGAAGCTATGAAAATACATTTTGTGTGCAAAGAAAACAAAAATAACTTCATTCAGCACCACAGGCATGCGTCATTTTACTCTCGTGAATGCACGTCAAAGACTGACACGGAAGAGAAGAAATTGTTGAATTAATTTGTTACTTTTGTTTTCTTTGCGAGCAAAAACTATTCTTGTAGCTTTATAAAATTAAGGTTGAACCACTGATATCACATGGAGGATTTTAACAATGTCCTTACTACCTTTCTGGGCCTTGAACATGGTAGTACCCTTGCTGTCTATGCAGGGTCAGAAAGCTCTCAGATTTCATCAAAAAATATCTTAATTTGTGTTATGAAGATGAATGAATGTCTTACGGGTTTGGAACGACATGAGGGTGAGTAATTAATGACATAATTTTCATTTTGGGGTGAACTATCCCTTTAAGATGGCAAGATGAGCACAGATCACATTTGTCAAACTCTGGTCCTACAGGGCCACTGTCCTGCACAGTGTAGCTCCAAAACACCTGCCTGGAAGTTTCTAGTAATCCTGAAGATCTTGATTAGCTGGTTCAGGTGTGTTTAATTAGGGTTGGCGTTAAACTCTGCAGGACAGTGGCCCTCCAGGAACTGAATTTGACACCTCTGGCATAGATGAATGTAGAATAGTTGAAGTTAGAGATGCCAGTGTTGCAGTACTCAAGTCCAGACTGGGACGTAAGTCCGTCTAATGTCCAAGACCTTATTTTCTATGACTAAGTCCAAGTCCAGGTCCAAATGCTCCTCAAAAAATGATCTTGGACATGAGATGGATTAGAGACTCATGCGACTGACTTGAGTTGTAGTAGTGTGACAACATTCATAGATATGCTTTTTGACTATTTCTGCTCAATTTTCCCAGTTGCCCCCATCCTCCAATGCTCCTCAAAAAATGATCTTGGACATGAGATGGATTAGAGACTCATGCGAGTGACTTGAGTTGTAGTAGTGTGACAACATTCATAGATATGCTTTTTGACTATTTCTGCTCAATTTTCCCAGTTGCCCCCATCCTCCTTGACGACTCTAAGTGCACTATAGTCCGTGAGGGCGTTCAGTGTGTGTGCATTGCATCGGGAAACCCTGAGCCTGTGATTGAATTCTACCTGCCAGACCTCAACATCACCATCAACGACTCCAACAGCCTGTTTAACTACCGCACATACTCAGATGGGTACACGTCCACTGGCATCATCAAGCTCCAGGACAAGGGTGAAAGGGGGAACAATGGTGATACTGCTGTCCATGTTCACTGCAGCATCAGCAACATGTACGGCTCCGAGACCATCCGCTTGGAACTGCAGCAGGAGAGTAAGTAGACCTTTACTGAAACCACATGTGCAACTGTTAATGCGATTTTGATGTATCATCAATGAACTCTACACACTCTTTCAGAAAAGTTCATGATGGCCGTCATAGTGGGGACTATCGGAGGTGTGGCAGTCATCGCCTTCATCATCGCAGCTGTGAGATACGTGGGTCAGAATAATAAAAAGTGAGTATCCTTCACCAGAAAGACTGGGAGAAGAACATTCAGGTGGAGTTTGTGGGTTGGGACTGGGGTTTGTAGGTATCAAAACACCCAAGCCTAGTCATCCATGTTCAGTTTTGTTTTTTTGTTTTTTTTGGCATTTGGTTTTCAAACCATAACCCACTCACAGATGATCCAATTTTGGTTTTCAAGCCATAACCCACTCACAGATGATCCAATTTGATTGCTTGGTACGATGGTAAACATGCCACATTGTGCATGAAACTGCAGACTAACAAATCTATTGCAGGTTCAATTGCCCCATGCCATTGCTTTTCAGCCTCAAAACCACTGAGCTCTGCAGCAAACACCCTGCTCCTATCTCATTTTGCAAGACAAAATAAAACATCCCATTGGAAATCAAAACGAAACACTCCCAAACTTGACACTGTGGCACAATGCCAGTTTTATTTAAGGGGTTGCAATGATCCCCTTGTGTTAAAATGGATGCCCAGGCTTAAAGGAATAGTTGACCTAAAAATTTAAATTCTCTCTTTTACTCACCATATGGTTTTCTTTCTTCTGAAGGAACACAAGCAAAAATATTTTGCTGAATGTCCAAGCTGTTCTTTTCCATACAATGTAAAAGAACAAGGTCTGTCAACCACTGAAAGAGATAAAAAGATATTACATAAAAATGTTCACAAAAAATGTAAATAAAAAATAATGCACAAAGATATTAATTGGTTTTTCATGTCTTGTGACCAATGATCGTTGAAATCGATTGAAGCTTATCATTTTTTGAAGGTCGACCCCAGTCTCCATTCATTGGATGGAAAAGAGCAGCTCAGACTCAAAGAATTGTATGGTAAAGAGCAGCTAAAACATTCTGCAAAATGTCTTGGTTTGTGTTCCACTGAAGAAAGTCAGTCATACAGGTTTGCAGTGTCATGAGGATGAGTAAAAAATGACAGAAGTTTGATTTTTGGATCAACTATCCCTTTAAAGTGTTGCCGCAAGCCAGTTAGTTTACAGTATGGTTGAGTGTGAGACAGAGTCTGATTCTCTGACTCCACCCCCAGAGAGAATGGTAACCCTGGGCAGGACGTGGGATCTAAAGTGGAGAATCCCTCAATGTTCTACAGCGCAGTCAAGAAGGACAAACAGAGTCTCAGGAAAAAAGTGGTGAGATATTGCAATAATGAATAAATCACCCACACAGTATACAGTACTTGCACACAGTGATAATACAAAATAAAAGTGTGCACACCGTATAATAAAATAATCAACATTATGTGGTCTTTTTCATGCATATTTGTGGCAAATGATATTATATACTGGCTCTTCTCTAGTTGTAATTAGCTTTCCACACTTAGCCTTAGCATTAAAACAATCAGGAACCACATATTAAAAAGAATTGCCCATATATTATTCCTACATACTCTGTACTGAATTTTTAGATAATGATTTAAAGGGATAGTTCACCCAAAAATGAAAATTCTGTCATTAATTACTCACCATCATGTCGTTCCAAAACCGTAAAGACCTTCGTTCATCTTCAGAACACAAATTAAGGTATTTTTGATGAAATCCGAGAGCTCTCAGACCCTGCATAGACAGCAACACAACTGTAATGTTCCCAGGTCCAGAAACAGCAAGGACATTGGTAAAATAGTCCATGTGACATCAGGGGTTCAACTGTAATTTTACGAAGCTACGAGAATACTTTTCTGGACCTCGGAACATTGCAGTTGTGTTGCTGTCTATGGAGGGTCTGAGAGCTCTCGGATTTAATAAAAAAAAATCTTAATTTGTGTTCTGAAGATGAACGAAGGTCTTACGGGTTTGGAACGACATGAGGGTGAGTAACTAATGACAGAATTTTCATTTTTGGGTGAACTATCCCTTTAAAGAGGGAAACCATTCAGTTTACAGACCTGACATCTGCTATGATCAGAATGGTATGCTAGCTCACTACTCACTTAATATTGCACATTATACACTTTATGCTACTATTTAAAAAAAAATAGTAAGTGCAAGAGAGGCACTATTTCTCAACTTTATGCTACATTGTTGTGACATGACCTCATCATGTTGCATGCGGGTAATATACAATTATCATCCTGTAAATGAGAAGTTATTTTCAATTCTTTAACAAATTTTGTCGATAAATGTCTTGGAAGTCAAATCAAACCATTAATTAATAAAGAGATGGCTGAAAACCTCCACTTTAATAGTTACACTAGAAATGGAAGGCCAAGTGAAACTTTTGCATTGGAGGATACAGTGTGCTCTGTTGCATGTATTAAATGTATTATAATAAGTCATCTGCATAGTCTATGGAAAAACAAATTGCATATTGCAAATTGCATATGCTATCTTGAATATAGGCACTGTCACAAAGCCAAGTGTGGATGGTACGTCACAACTGAGAGTTCCAGTGTATGCCTATGCTTAGAGCATTTCCTGACCTATATTCTCTCCTCTTTCATTGCTTTCTATGCATTCTCTGTCTCTTTTTCTTCCCCTAACATAGCTTAAGACTGAGCTCCTGGGCTCAAAGTTTAACTCCATCCTAGAGGAAGGCACGGTAAGGCTGAAATTTAAGATGAGCATGTAAACAAATTGGTGGAGGTGAAATAAGCACTAGACAACAATAAAAGTAAAATATTTTGAGAAAAAATTCAGTTACTACAAAAATGATTTAGATTTATTTCTGTTTTAACAATGCTGTTCACTGCTGCCTGGAAGCTAATAGTTCATGCGCTGGCTACCTCATTCTGTTTAGCGGCTAATTGCTAACAGTGCTTTTAAGTGTCTTGTTAAGGACTTTTATTTTGACATGACCAAGGTTTTCCTGCTCTGCCTCCAAATATTGTGCTTAAATATTTCCCTAAATTATTTTTACAGGGAGACGACAGTGATTACCAATCTGTTGGCCCGATGGCAGGCATGGAGAGGCAAGAGCTGAATTACGCCGCCCTAGAGTTTCTCCATGGACGACACCGGGAGGGAGGCTTCAGGAGGGCTGATGGTGACGGCAGCGACTACACTGAAATTAAGGCCAAATGAATCGCTTTGCTTGCTTTCTTTTTGTTTAATAAAAGTCTCCAGCCTCAAATGACGCCAGTCTTCTTTAAAAGTGAAACAACAAATAAAGTAAACAAAATGATAAACAGGTTAATTCGCTTTATTTGTACATGTTCTTGGAGAAACTGCTTTTCCAGAAGATTTATTGGAATAAAGAAAAAACATATTTTCATAAAAATAATCTGTGTGCATTATAATGCAAGTTGACAGATCCCTCAAAGTTAAAGGGTTAGTTCAACCAAAAATTTAAATTAGCCCATGATTTACTCACCCTCAGGGCATCATAGGTCTGTCTATATGACTTTCTTTTTTCAGACGAATCCAATCGAAGTTATGTTAAAACATTGTCCCGACTCTTCCAAGCTTTGTAATGGCAGTGGGTGGGTGTTTTCATTTAACAGTCCAATAAAGTGCATCCATCCATACTAAACAATGCCACGCTGCTCCGGGGGGTGAATAAAGTCCTCCTGTAGCAAATAGATGTGTTTTTGTAAGAAATATATCCATAATTAAAACGTTAGAAACCGTTTTCTCTAAATTCCGCTAACTGTCGTACACGCAGGCCATTCCGGGTGGATGACGTATATGCTAGTCTCGCGAGAACCAATGTTTGTTTACAGGAGCAAAGGAAGCAAAGTTTCCTTACTTTAGCAAAGGAAAACCAGTCTCCTCTTGGCTTATATCGAAAACATCTGACATTTTTCTTTACAAATCCTCGTTTTGTACTTCTAATTCGTGACCGGTGTTTTGTTTTGCTCTCCTCCGCATTTCCGTGTTTGTCACTTCTCACTGGCACATGTGCTATGCATACATCTTATGTCATCCGTCAAGAACTGCTTGCGCGTACGACAGTTAGTGGAAGTTAGAGAAACTCCCATGCTTTCTATGGAAGTTTCTATGGATGCTTTCTAATGTTTTAAATATGGATATTTTTCTTACAAAAACGCATCTATTCGGTACAGGTGTGGCACTGGTTGGGTCAGTATCACTGTAGGGTGCCTTTTGGTGTCCTGTACATAAATAACTCATTTGCCATGATAACTTAACATAAAAATGACTAAAGGGTGTGTTATATTAGGCTAAGTTTTTATATTCATAACAAAGCATTACTTGGCTCTTTAGATACATTTTCTAGTTTTTTTTTTTTTTTTTGTGTAAGAGGATGCGTGTTATTTTGCTATGTCCCATGCACTGCTCATTAAATTTGAATGAGAGTAGAATACAGTCATCATAAAATAAAAATAAAAATTCCCCCTATTAATATTTTGTTAAATAAGAGATTACTCAATTTGAGTGTTTTGATCATTTGGTAATAAAAACTATATTTTTATTTAATAAAAAAGAAGAGTTTGTCCATGTCCCTTGAATGGTTGTCCACCCTGTCGTATTGGGGAATCCGCCCCTTTAAGAAAAGGCCATCCACTTTAGTGACATCAGGACAACAGATTTTTTGTCACTTCAGTGGCGGGAATTTCAACAGCTGAGGTGAGTAAGTTGGTGACTTTTTAATTGACAAAATTTCTTCGTATGAGTTTGCTTACTTGCTTTGCCAAAGCTTAACAT